TCCAGCTATAAACAAATCACTGAACCAGTGGTGAATTCATTATGATTTGTGAATTCCACATACGAGTCACAAATTAAGAAAAGAGAGAATTCTGTCCATGCTTCCCAATTATTTACATCCAGATCTGTGCTTCCTTCAGGATGTTTAGAAACAAGAATTGACCAGTTTGTTCAGATTTAGTTCTATTTGTAAATTTTAAAATTTACAAAACATTTTGTTGACAGGGGAAGAAGGGAATGAGTTAAATGTTGCTGTAATAGAATGGTTTGAGCCCTACTCCATGGTGGAAGAAATCTACAGGAACACACAACTAGGAAAGGACATAATGTGGTCGGCAGAGATCGCTACTATTCAAGGAATATTGCTCTGACATTTTCCTGTGTTGAAAGAGAAGTTTGAAGAGAGCATGACACTTTCCATGACATTTACCTTCTCGAGTGAAAAAGGTTATCCTGGCTCTGCACATAAGCAACAAGAATAGCCATCAGAAATTAGCCTTTTTGTGACCAGTTTCTGCATGTAATTCCAGGGTCTGAGCTTATGAAATATATAATTTTTCAACATATGCAATACTGAGTATCATTTCATTTCAAACAGTTCTGCTAAAATGATCCAAATGGCAGGTATTTGTTTACATATGTTATGTATAAGGAAATATATTCAATGCATTCATACTTATAAACCTGATTGTAGTTTATCCTTAAAACAATGATTAAAATAATGTTTAAGTTACAAATTCCATAGTAGCAGCAACTAGAAAATTGCTGATGATGTAACCCTGAAATTACTTTATTTCATGTGTCCAAAATAGATCTCAGGATAATTCTAGTAAACATGGCATTTAGTGGCATTGAGTTAGCATTTTAAAAGAATTAGATGCTAAAACTTATAAATCTCTATTAAGATCTACAGAACAGAAAGAAGTGTGTATACGTGAGGTGCTTAGGTTGGTTTTCTATGAAAATAGTAGAAATGAACACATTTTTTTAGAAATGTGCTCATGAGTGCAGTTACGGGTGGCTGATTTTTACTGACCATTTCCACCTCACACAGCCAGATGGAGAGAAAACAGAGTGGTAAACAAGGAAACACACAGGCTGGGCTGTGGGTCTGGGTTCCCATCCTGGATTAGCTTTCAGGCCTTGGCTAAACCACACCGTACTGTCTCTGAGCCTCAAAGCCCACAACTGTCTAGCAAAGACAATAATATCATCTACCCCACAGAATTCTCATGAGATCAAATCAATAAAAACGGGCAAAACACCCAGCAGCGTGCTCAGCGCACAGTAGCTTCTCCAAAGAGGTTAGATCCCTTCCCTGCAAGACAGACCTGGAGCCAGCACCTCATCTGAGGATACCTGATACCTTCACAGCCTGATATCCAGCCCAAGATTCTGTGACTTCCAGTGTTTTCTGGGGCTTTCCTGGTGGCTCAGATAGTAACAGAATCTGCCTGCAATGCAGGAGGCCTGAGTTCCATCTCTGGGTCAGAAGCTCCCATGGAGAAGGGAATGGCACCCAACTCCAGTATTCTTGCCTGGAGAATTCCATCTACTCTGTTTCTTACATTCTATATTAAAAAAACAAAAGTGGGCCAAAATTGAGTTTTCACAATAAACGTTAGTGTCACTTATTATACTCCCTGTGTTTCATTCATTTATGCCTGGTGTTATAATAGAAATTAAAAATTATTCTCAAGAATTATTATTTATTAGAAAAGCTACTATTTTATATATTTCATTTGTGAACAAACAAAATGATAAAAGAAACTTTAAAAAATCAAAGAATTTTCTCCAGCAAATCACACAAAATGAAAGACATTTCCCTTTATGCTGATACTGTTTGCCAGTCAAAAATATCTCGAGATTAAATGAACAAGCGGAAAAAGGTGATTTTGAAGTATTATTTGAAAAGAAGTGGGCTGAAATAATTTCTGGAGGGTGTCATGATGTGATAATCAACTTGCAAAATTTCACTGTTCTTTTCTGCTGTGGCTAGAATGATGTAGAAGCATACTGGCTTAATGTAATCTAAATCCATTTATATACTTGAGTGTATAGTCAGTATATATTTCCTTTTTGCTTGTTTCAAATAATAGATTAATATTGATCTTTTGGTGTAGTTATATTTAGAAAATTAAACTTGAAGTATGAATAATTATGTGTATTTCTTTCTTACAATGTTTTAAGTCACTGAATTTAAAAAAGAAAAGTAAAACCTGCACAGTTGTATTACTGTCAGTCCTGGAGAGCTGCTGATAAGCCAAGTTGTATAGTTTCATGAATTGTCAACTCAGTTACCTGCCAGGTTCTGAACTCTAGAAGCATTATCCCACAAGATAAATGGACAAGTCAGAAATAACACAGCTTGATTTTAAGATAAAATCTTGATTTTAATTTTTAAGGTAGAGGTGGCAATATGACCTGGGGGGATCTTGCTTTGACATGTAAAGCGCATTCACATGACTTGGCAGTGGTTTTAGACACTCTGTCTGGAACTATGGACATGTCACGTGGCCAACCTTCCCACTCTGTTCTGGGGCTGTACCGCACTTCCGAAACAGTGAAGTTCATCAGGTAATAACTCAAAAGCCAAGAGGCTGTAAAGGAAACAAAGTTGCTAGCAGGCACTAACCTGGGTGTCATAACTTTTTTCAGGTAGTAGGTGTAACCTTGAAGAAAAAGTGGCACTGTCTTCAAAAAAGTGACCTGACCCTGGCTTTGGTGGGTTTTTCTGCAAGAAATAAAAAGCACCGCATGTATTTACTGTATATCCTTTCTAGCTGACCACTGCTTTGTTCTAGAGTTCAGCATGAAAGGACTAATTTTTGTTTTGGTTTGGTTTTGTTTTAGTGAAATGGCATGTCCGTTGCTAATTCTAGCTATTATAGTTGCACATGTGAAAAATACCTATACATAGTTTACGGATTGGTAGCATTTCAAATAAATAGTATAATTGAACTACTGACCTGAAATTTTTTGAGATGCTTATCAATTGTTTTTTTTCTTAGCCCAAGGAAATAATCTGAATTATTTTTTAAATTATAACTTGTAACATTAGATATATTTTTAAAATATATTAGGAATTTAATATAAGCATGCCACTTTGTTTATTGCTATATTATTACACTTGGAGCATGGAAAGAATTCTTCACAAATGATTTTTCTCTTTTGAAAAAACACGCTGCAAAAATATGTTAAACTATATAAAGTTTGTAAATGAGTGTAGCTTATAAAGACATACTGAACTTATTGTATATAATGTTTTATCCAAGTAATTTTTACATTTTGAAAATATGTCAGATAGTTTAGCAGTGCCATGAATCATTTTCCAGAATTCAGAACTGTATGTATATTAGGAAGATGACAGTGCTTTACTAAAGGAAAAACCTGGGATCATTATGTACCCCAATTTGTTATGCAGTTAAGCACTGTTTCCCTTTATTCTTCCAGAATTAAATTAATCTAAGCACTGTAGCAATATAAACTTTTCAGAACACTTAAATTACTGCTGTTATATCTGCTCAATAAAATCTCTTATAGTTGATATTATATTGTAGAAATAACACATTATTTTTCAATAATGCTAGTTCTTAGGATAACAAACCAAAGAAACAAGCTTTCAGCATGGTAAAGAGATTCACACAATTTTAAATACAGTAACTAGACAAAGTTTTTCTTGGTTCTCATAAATAAAAACTGCCACACGTTACATTTTAGAAAGGCAACGCTTGAAAAAATGGATGTTCTGCTTCCTAGAGCCAACCTACCTTCTAAATACTTAAAGCCCTGTGCAAACCAAAGATAATAATGTAAGTCTATCCTTTTTAGTTGCATAGAGACTATCAAGATTTATTAATCTTTAGAGTTAATATTGATCCTAGCTCTTAACTTCCTTTCAGACAGTGGACCCTCATATGTCCATTTTTGTTTCCTTGCCTATGGTATCTCTGTATGCTGCATCTGTATTTTACATAAATTTGCAACACAGATATTCACATTGTACCTAGTATAAGGTGGTCTTCTTCAGGGAGGCTCTGCCCACAGACTAAGGACAGTGGAAGTTTTTGTTTTTAAAGTGCTTAAAGATGATTTAATTTTTACATAGTATGAGGTGTTGCTAATCGGGTTGGGAAGGTGATATTTTGTTTTCTGGGGTTTTTTTTTCCTATTATGCCCTATCTACCCTCAGAAACATAATAATCTGGTAAACTAAAACCATAGAAAGCCAGCATACCCCTTTACAGTCCATAATTATGTTTGTGTGAGACCAAAAGTTTGTACATATCAGTATATCAGTGCCTCTATCATTAATCATCATTTATTTACATGTGGATTTATGAGATTCTCCAATTAAAAGACATTTCTAAAATTCTATTAACATTTTTTGATCTCAAGAACATTGAGAGTTGCATTTTTTTCCATAGTACCTCCCCCAAAATAAACAAGCTGGGTGAATTTCTGTGACTTTAGGCTGCTGAAGAATTTTTAGAGGTTTTATGACACAGTTATTTTTGTGACCAATCCAATCAAAAGTGACAGGCTCCAGAGACCACCCAGCAAAATTTTTCTGTGGGAGTGAGACCCTGATCCTAATCCCTATCCTAGACTCCTTACTGTCATTTAAAACACTTAGAGATTATACAGGAATAATTTTAAATGAACAAAACAGGCAATCCATAATATTTTAAAATCAATACTATAAAAATTGTCATGTCATGTAAATTGCCTTAAAATATATTACACATATAAAATACTATGTTAAAATTAAATATAATATGTCAGCTGTAAAGGTGGAAAAGTAGCTAACTAAAAAGTTCACAAATAATCTTTTTTCAGATTTCATGTGTTTTCTCCTCAGCCAAAAGCCTCAAGATTCACTTGCAGCAGCCTACCTCTTCATTTATGTTGGATTGCTCTTTAAACATTAGAATATCTTGTGATAAATAATAAGTTAAACATTTCTCCTGACACAAGTCATTGTTGATTTCACTGTTATAGGGAAAAGGCTCTAGGGCGGCAGATAAGGCTGTTGCCATGGTGATGAAGGAGATACCGAGGGAGGAGTCTGCTGAAGAAAAGCCCCTCCTTACTATGACATCACAGGTGGGCAGACCCTTAGGGTTCCTGTAGGAAGCTGACATATGTTAATATATCAGATATTTTGATTTTTAACTAGAAAAAAAAAACATTAACTCGATCCAATTTTTAAAAAACATAGTTTCAATGAAACAATTATACAGTATAAAACGAAAACCAAAATTACTTAAATGAAAATTCCAACATTTAGTTACATATTCGTGTGTATTAATTTTCATTACTCAACTTTAGTTAAGAAAAGAAAATGTATGTGCAAGTAAAACATGTTGCTTCTTTATAAAGGAGTCTTGTTAACTTGGGAAAGTACAATTAAGATAATGGTACATTTGAACAACAACAACCAAAAAAAATTCCTATGGATAAATACAACTTATATTGCATACATATGTCAGTTTACCAGTAGAATATCTAAATTTTCTTAAATGTTAAATATATTTATGTTGTGACTATGCATACTACATATATGTCTATACATATTTATGTGGATGACTAATTTACAGGAATGAGCCAGAAGTCCCTGAGTCCCCATGCAGAAAATGGCATTTGTGACCCTTCTTCTATTTGGTGACCTTGGCAACAAAAATATCATCTCTATTAAAAGCACATGAGGGCCATTTTCAGCATTTATTATAACAAGTATAGAAAAAGGTTTGTATTTGTATGCAAAGACATGCCGAGAGTGAATCCTGTATGTCCTCAGGGACTTTTGAAACACCCTGTAAAATCCACATACATATGTATAATATACTCATCACCACTCTGTGGAACTATCAGTTTTAAATTCTTAAATGCAAAATATTTTTACTTGCATTTATCTTATAATTTAGATTAGATCGTTATATTAAACATTTCTCTTTTTTCCATAATGCAATAGTAAGTGCAGTGATTCAGTCCCAATTATATGAACATGTCTCAATTTAGAAAAATGTCCATTTAAATTCCTCATGAAAGGCATTTATATCAAAAGCTAAATTATGGCAACTTATTTTTAGAATAGCATCAGATCACATCCCCAGCTGCTGCCAACATGTGTGGTTTTATATTATTCTAAACACTATGTTGTAAGTAATGAAAATTATAACATATTACATCAAAATGGAATAATAAAAGTTATTGAAGATTCCCAGGACTTTGGGATAATCTTATGTTGTGAGTTTTTTTTTAGTTTTTGGTTTTTGTCTTGTTTTATCCAAAAGAAGAGATACTTCTTGCCAATGACACAAGTAATGTTGGAAAGAAATTTGCTTGATATTTACCAAGGCCTCCATTCTTTAATTAGTTTACATAGTAAAACATGTACAGTTTTACATTGATTTCCTGCCCTTTGTAGAATCCATGTCCAAAATAGACAGTCCACAGTTCCTCAGGGAAATGCTATGGGAGGTGAGAACTACTTGGAATTCTCGGCTAATGGTAGAGCCATATTCACCAGTAGATAAGACCTTTCCAAATTTGCAGTTGGCATAATTGTGCTGCAACAAATCATTTCAGGACATCAGAATTTAGGACAGGCTCTAGTGCCTAGTAATCCTTTTCAAATGTCCAAAATTACCTCAATAACCTAAGCTAAATTTAATGCAAAATAAGAATTTGGATTTTTTTAAATCAGAAAAGCAACTGTGATTATTACCATTTTCTCATATTCAGAATATTTGTGTGTACCAAGTTCCTTCTTTAATCCCTGTCTAATGTTGCATTAACTGTTTTTGAAGTAATAGTTACAATTTTATTGCATGAAGATGATCTAATGCTTTCTTTGATGCACCATATTCTTGTTGCATACTGGCTAATTTATGAATCAGCAAATGAAGAGTCCTGATTCATAAAATGCAATGCACCTATTGTGTTGATAATTTTGTGAAATTAATCCTGTGACAGCTGTGATACAATTATTTCCCAGTCAAATGTGGTTTTATTAGTTGATATACTTTTTCCACCACACACAAGTGGCTTCTTCCCTGCTATGCACCAGTGGCATGCACAAGCCAAAAAGCAGCAGAATGATCTGAAAAAGTGAGTACTTCTCATGGCAACCACAGCATCCAATCTGTGTACCATACCACATTCTTACTCGTTATCTTGTGTGAATGTATTAGTGTCTCGACACATGTCTGTCCCGTGTCTCCTGTAGAACTCCTATGACATAGTGCTACATACTGCGGGACACGATGACTCATCCTCATCACTGGTGCTCATTCGCAGATTTCAGAAATGTCAGAAGCTAATTGCTGCTGTCTCAATAATGTCTTCAGGACAATCATAATTGATAAAATACAGAATGAGTCTTTGAAACACTGAGTGCCTAACTAGTTTAGTAACTGTCCATTCCACAGATTGGTAAGTGTAGTTTATATTGAAGCACTTTTTTATTATGTGATTCTTAGGATTACTTTTAGAGAGATTTAGCCAGGCATATTCCAGTCAAGTCATCTATAGTACACTGAACAAACTGAACAAAACAGAAGAGTTGGCCAGGTGACCTGAACTCAGAAATTGTCTGACCCCTGAGAATTGCTCTTTTTGTTTCATTTTATTAGTAATTCTTTGCAAACAATATGTCAAGCTCTTCATGGAAGCTTAAGTTCCTTCTGTCCTAGACTAACACTTTAAATCAAACAGTATGGAAACAAATGTGTATTAATGAGAAAAAAGGAGGAAGGAAATGAAGGAAAAAAATATGTGAACCATCAATTCTTGGAGGAAATAAAGTTCAGGAAATAAAGACTCGTGCTAGTCAATACAGTAGCCACTAGCCCACACATGGTTGTGGATACCCCGAATTGAGATATGCTGTAAGTATAAAATACACACCAGATTTTGAGGATTTAGTCCAAAGAAAACTAATGTAAACTATCATATTAAGGCTTCCCTGATGGCTCAGATGGTAAAGAATCCACTTGCAATACAAGAGACCTGGGTTCAATCCCTGGGTTGGGAAGATCCCCTGGAGGAAGGCATGGCAACCCACTCCGGTATTCTTGCCTGGAGAATCCCCATGGACAGAGGTGCCTGGCGGGCTATAGTCCATGGGGTTGCAATAAGAGTCAGAGATGACTGAGCAACTAAGCACATCGCATGAATAATTTTTATGTTGATTAAATGCTGACATGATAATATTTTGGATATACAGGGGTAAATAAAATGTTATTAAAATTATTTCACCTGTTTCTTTTTACTGTTTTTAAATTGGCTACTAGAAAATTTTAAATTACCAGGCTCTCATTATATTTCCATCGAACAGTAGTACTCCAGACTGTAACAGAGTAAATAAATCCAGTTTCAGTCTAGATGGGAAAACTATGTACCAGAGGATTGAGTATACATAGAAAATTTTTTATTCTTCTTTATGAGAACGAAACAGCTTTAGGGAATACTTTTCTCTCATAAGGAACCTTTGAAATTTTCACTTTAACCACCTGCCCTGGTATTGAATACTTTTGTTAGCAAGGTACAGCCAATTCATTTTCTGCTGTGTCTCAAAACTATGTGTTGCAGACCTCTTTGGGTCAAGGGATTTTTTTTTTAACTCAGCCTTCATTTTCCTATCTGTCCCCACTTCAAAATTGATTTAATTTTGTGTCTGATAGAGTAATGTCCTTAATTGGAAAAATACTCACAAGATTGCTAAATACAGCCTTGTTTGGATTTTCTATCACTAATTTGAAACAGTTTCTTTAATTATATTCTCTGTCCTTCTTTGATAGTAGTATTACCCAAGTTATAAACAGTTATTGTTCATTTCCCCATGAATAGATTCACATTTTACAAGGCTCTAACTATCCTGGCAGGAAAATATTTGTAGTCAATTGGTTGGCATTTAGAGCAAGTCAAACAGTTGAAAATTATCACATGACTATCCTTTACAGGCAGATTCCACTGGGACTCATTATAGAACAAGAGATGGGGCAGGGCCATTAGTACTGTTAGCTCATAAATTAATTCCATCAGGTGGCAGAGTTACTGTCACAAAGCCTTCAAAGGCTGAATACTTACAGGGTACATAGTAATGGTTTCATTGTTTTGTCTTTTCAATGGATTGAGTCAATTAAGTTTTAATATGGAGACTATTTTGATGGGCTTTGCACACATTTCTAATCTTGGATAGGATTAATAAAGCCATACACAATTTAATTACAAAATTATGAACAAAATCTACTTAACAAATTACATATACTTTTAATTAAGAGAGTACAAATAATAAAGGAATTTTCAAAATGTATAAAGATGTAGCTATTGAAAACATATTTGTGTTTTTATTTATATAAAAACAAAGTAATCTTAATTTTTTCTATTATTTAAATAAGGTTAAAAAGACTGGTATATTTTTACAAATTTTTAATCAACATTGTAAATATGAGATATTTGTTAGCTGTTCTTTATTAGCTTCAATGTTTTAACTTAAAATTATTCTTTAAGTACTAAAATGTTTTTAAAAACAGAATATTTTACTTTAATATTTTACTTTAGATTATCAATCTAAAGTGTAAAATTATAGAAAAATGAATCCTTTACCGATCTTGTTTAGTTGCCTAAAATGTATTTGAATTAGGAGTTAATTCTTAGCAACATAAGCTATCACAAACTTTAGCTCTATATTTTTTAATGAAACACCTAAGGAATATATTAAAGATAAATAAACTAGACTTAAGTCACAAAATAAGCTATTTTTAATGCACTGGAGCTTAAGTAACAGGCAGTATTTAAAAACAAAATACTCTCCTTAGATCAGATAATAATTTAATTTTAATTTAATTTTTAACATTTATATTGAGGAAATTCAAGTTGAACTAAGGCAAATGCATTTTTAGACAAAGTTTTAAAACAGACAGTAATTCATTAAAGCTGGGTAATAGTGTCTGCAATTCGCTCAACACTGAACACAGTATTGATATAAAATAAGAACCAATTTGGTCCTCAGTGGCTACTATTAGTCACACTAACTGACTGGTCTGACTGAGTCATAAGTAAGTTGAAGGCATTTGACTGCATATGTCATTTACAACCTATGACTACAAGTAAGGTGTAAAAGTTCAATAGGCTTTTGAATTCTGAGTGACAAGAAGCTCCTACAGGCAAGTTCTCACCTGTCTTCTTACTTCTGTTTCCATGTCCATTGATCATGTAAGAGTTTTCCCTCAAAATCTCCAAATTTATATCTCTGATTTAAAATCCCTGAGTGAGGTAGTGGTGTTATTTCTTGAAGTGTCACCGGCTTCACATTTGCATTGGTCCACGTCCTGCTTCCAAAGACGCAATGAGGCAGGTCCATGCCTTTATTTCAGTTTTTCTCATTAAGAATTCACTCTGCATTTTAGACTTACTGGTAGAAGCCTTGCATTTGGAAATGTTCCTTTATGTACTTCTAGGTTTCCCTGCATTTTCGTGATGTGACAGTGGAGAAAAATGGACTCAGATTTGTGGCTTAAAATTTGCCAGGAATTTAGTAAACATTTCTGAGGACCACTGGCCTCTCTCTGAGTTGATCAAGCCCAGTACAAAACTGAGAAAGCCCATGCGATCATTCTTTTGAACAAGTCACCATTCAGTTGGACTATATAAAATCAGCCAACATTTATTAAATTTCTAAATGAGACACAAAAATTAATTGGATAAGGTCTCTACCTTTGAAGAGACTATAGTATAGAGGGAGGAAAACAGATAGAAGCAAGGTTAAAAAACTAGATAAAGTGTAGGAACATGGAGATGCTGTAAAAATGCACTCACTACTTAGCACTGAAAAAGGTTACCAGGCAATGTGCCAATAGACTGGGGTCCTGAAAGAGAAATAAGATTCTATCACCATTAGAAAGGCATTTGAAATAATCTAAATATTGAGAAGAAGACAAAGGATAATAAAGGAAAATTTTAAATGTAAATTTGAGACAAAGGTCTTTAGCAACTAATGAAGTGGGTCATTTTAACTCAGTTTTGATCTGATTGAATCCAAATTGAATCACTCCAACTCAGTATTTTTTAAAAAAAAACAGAACCCTTTTGACTCACCTTTTATTATTTTATAACATCAATATACTCTGTGCCAAAAGGATGAAATGAGGTAAGTTCATAAAGTATTTTCAAACTGAAGGAAGTAATTCTAAGAGAAAGTCAATAACCTATATCCTACCAATGAATAGAGACAGAATAAATGGTATACTATTTGGAAGTAAAGTTTAGGGGAGCTATTTGAGGGGTTCAGTTCATTTACAATATTCCTTTAGGGCCTAAAAGGTTAGCTTATTCTCAAGTCACCACAGGAAAGCCATAAATTTTTTTGAAAATCAGGAGAGGGGCATGTGAAAAGTCATTCTTATCTATACAAATAAAAATAAAATGGGGCTAAATATGGATAAAATAATGATTTTTAAATTCATCCAACTGAAGATACAGTTCAGAATAGGACTATTTTAGAGAGATTTTTATTTGGTAGTCATTGATTGAGCTCCTTTTATATAAAGACATTCTATTCAAAGTTGTGAAGGATATAAATATGAGAGACATAGCCTCCGACCTCAGAACTGATAAGAAAAGGTATTTTCATGATATCTCCTGTTTCATCTTCCATATCTCAATCAGAACCAAAAAACTTTCAGCTCCCAAATTACCTTTCCATGCGATCTGAAATTGGGACCTTCATCCTCTTCACCCCTGAGCCCTGCCTCAATCCCCTACTCCAAGCTCAGCATTTCCTGACAGCTAACTGTGCTCTAGCTTGAAAAGCAGACTCAGAAAGTCATGTGAAGTTTCCTCTTTGATATGTATCTATGGAAGGAAGTCACAGGAAGAGCTCAATTATGAGAATGGGACAGATGTAACAACTCCAGTCCAGGGGTGAAATATGGTCATAAATAAGACAGTAGATATGAAAAAGACCTTATAAGGAAAAGCCACACCTTAATCTTGGGCTGTCTAGGGTCTCTCTGAACAACCTTCTCTTTGGTGTTCTTCCTATGCTGAAAAAATCTGAGTGCTAGAAGTTCTTTTTCTAGACAATAAGGCTGAAGTTTGAATAAGAAGAGAGACTCAATAAATAAAATACTATTACCTCTGATAAAGCAGATGCCTAAAAATATAGGTCTTTTGATTAATTGTCCTTTCCTTTATTTTTCCATTTAGATATTTATGTGGAAAGGTCTTACTTTCTAGAATACTTATATCAAATTTAGACTGTAATTTTTCAGTGTTTACAACTAAAAGTATCTACAGAAATCTAATACCCAGGTCTTCTGAAACTGTAGATAATCTAGGTCCATTCCACATGTCTACTCACAAAACTGTGATTTGGAAATAGTCCTTTTATTTACAAAGGAATTTAATTGTATCCAAGTAAAGAAAAAAGTATAAGGAGGGTTTTGTGCAAATATAAACCATATGTATCTTTACATAATAATTGATATTTCTCAAAACCATGACTAAGAGAATAAATTTTCTTAGTTATCTATCAACAAAGTCAGACTTCTTCAGAGAAATAATGGCTAACAAAGGGAGTTATGACATCACAATACATATTTATACATATTTTAAAGTCAGAGTTGTTTTGAGTTTTTACACGTTTTCACTTTAACTTAGGTCAATGAGACCTAGTGATCAGAATGCACAACATAATAAGTGTAAGCCTGTTACAATTAATTTTGTGAGTATAGCACGGGGTCATATTCGATGGTGACCTTCATCTTCCATGATGTTTGTAGCACAGCAGAATCCAGCTGTCACTTGACAGCCGTGAGAACGACACAGCTAAGAGGTAGGCATTGTTGCAGCATCAGAACCACATCACTATGGTGAAATCCCACTAGATGGGTTCATTACACTAAGTACATAGAGCTGAAAGGGCAAGTTCTACCAGGAAATATACATTAATATATGGTTCTTTAAGAAATTGTGTTAACACAGTTTTTACATGAACTACTTATAAATGAAAAACAGATCCTGGAAAACTAATCACACTTTCAGAAGAGCTGCCATGAGCCATGGCATTTACAAAAATTCTAATATATTTTATCCCAGAAACATGAAAGACCCATAGTCCCTCAACATTAAAAAAAAATTTCATTTAAATAGGATGGGTGATATCTAAGAATGTTCAGATTCAGAAGACAAAATGCAAAGAAGCTCAGGAGTTTCATTCATGGATTAAAGGAGCATTCCCCAGAAAGGTTACTACCAACACAGACCTCAGATAATTGACAGAAATTTGTAAGTCTTTATACACATCCCCTAGAGGAGGAAATGGCAAGCCACTCTAGTATTCTTCCCTGGAGAATCCCATGGACAGGGGAGTCTGACAGGCTACAGTCCATGGGTCGCAAAAGAGTCGGACATGTGACTAACCCATCACATACAAAGTAATATTAAAACTTATAATAACTAAAAAATTTTCTATCTCTGTAACTTTAACACCAAAAGAAAATGAGCATTCTTAATTCTTAGCCCTGGATAAAATGTACAAATTAATATGTATGAAAATTAAAATGCCAACACTATGTCAAAATTTAGACTGTAGCGAAGATCTGAGACTTATCTATGCTAACAGCATGAATGTGTAAAATTACTAAAGGTGCCTCTTGGTTTTCATCCCCAAATAATCACTAAATGTTTCCATATTCCTCCTCCTCCAATGATAAAATTGCATTTTTCTTCCTGTATTTACCATTATTTAAGTCTCTTGTCATTGTCCATAAGCTCTAAGCTATAATACCACTAACACTGCCAGAGAAATAATGAAGTGAAAGTGAGCCATAGAGCATATTTTGATTTGGCAATACTTCAAAACAGTTCATTTGTTATTTTATGTGTCTCCTAAACTACAGCCTTGCAAATAAGCATTTCAAAAATCTAGAGATTTTTTGGCACATCTTTTTCTTATAACAAGTAGAAAACTAGATGACTATGCCCGTTTTAGGAAAGGCCAAGATAGAAACTCCCAGAAAACTAGGACGGTTCATTTAGGGGCTAACCACTTGTGTATCTTATGTGTAATTTTTCCTCAAGCATAGAAACAGAACTTAAGAATGTTTGGATTCAAAGAAGTGCAGAATAATTGGAAGTAAATAGTTTGCTGCCACTGATATGAGACCTAATAAATACCAAACTGAAAGATTTCTTAAATTAGAGAATAAGCCAACTGAACTGAATTGACAGAAATCTACTTTACATGCAGATTTTCACAAATATATATATATATTTGGTATTTATATCAAGTTAACATAGCAATGTTTTCTACTCTCTCAAAATATTTGCATAAAAGAATTCCAAGGAAATGTAAGGGAGGTTGTGTACCTTTAGGTGATTTGAGCTTTTTAAGAGAGGGAGAAAAAGAGCATTTATTCCATACACGCGGATCTCTGTGCGTGTGTGCTCTTACAGACTGACAGACCAGTCCTAGCCAGAATGTGTCACCTCAAGGTCTGAAGCCACTGTTCCAGGTCTCAGTAAGAGCTTTTTGGCCGAGTGAAAAGTGAGGTTGGCCCTCAGGAACTATGATCCCATAGGTGTCACATTCTACATAGTGAAATTAGAGAATAATTCTGAAACCATTCTAGGAGGAGAAGAAAAGCTTGAGCTTTAAAAATTAAAGTTGGCTGCATCCAAAATATGACAGTGCTAAAAGGCTTATTCCCCATTCCTTGACTGTTTTTTTTTTCCTTTCTCGCCCCTACCCATTATTTATTGATTTATTTTTTGGTAGGCTTGCTATTCCTGTTTTGTTGCAAGGCTGCATTTTAATTCATCTGATTCTGAACTTTGACAAAGCCCTTTGACATCTGTGTTCATTTGTTCTCAGCTGGTGAATGAACAGCAAGAAAGCAGACCCCTCCTGAGTCCCTCCATCGATGACTTTCTCTGTGAAACCAAATCGGAGGCAATAGCAAGGCCAGTAACGTCCAACACAGCCGGTAATTCTTTCACTTTTCACTTATCCTCAAGTAGTTAATTTTCACAGTAGAAAAATGCACATTTCTTTCCACAATGCACTTTAAGTGGAGAATAATGTTTGCAACCAAATGAAACTTTATTTCAACATAAACCAGTTAATCACTTTTGTTTATATAAGAAACTCCAATGGATATTATCCAACCAATTTTTCTGAACTTTAGAGTACCACTATTGACAATGAATCATTTTTCAGTGCCAATTTTCATATTTACATCATTGCATCTCAAGTCATATCATATAGGAAATCTTTAAAACAACAGTGTTTCTTTCAGAGTAAGGTTTTTTCAAGTGCTGGATGGAAATATTTTGGGAAATATATATTTTTGAGAAATATATATTTTTGAGAAATATATGAGAAGGTCTAGTAAAATAAAAATATAGGCAGCCCTTTCAAGTGGGTTGAAATGACAATTAAAATGTCCTAGAGACCTGGTATATTATTGAGACAATTTCATTTGTTGTCATATAAGTGGGTTATTTGTAAGATGTGACCAATAATTACCTTCTTACGAGAATTTATTTGAACACTGTTCTGGAATTAAATGTATTCAAACTAAACTATCTGTATAGGGACTAATAAGTAGTCATCCAGTGAGTGAATACAGGATACCAGTGTATCAATCACACCTTCTCCAGCATCCTCTGCACTTAACAATTCTCACTGATGCGAAAACTAAATCACTTAAGTTCTGTTCACTTTGAGGCCACAACAAATTGGACTCAAAAACTGCTTTTCACCTTCTGGTTCAGTGGCAGCCTTTCTGCCTTGATTTCATTCAATCATCATTCACATTCAAAGGCATGTTGTTCAAACAAGGATGAAAGAATGATGTCCAGAATCAAAGAAGAAAGGTTATGTTGGATTGCAGGAGAGAATTTAAAGGGGAAAGGAGACGATAATTACAAACTGTCTTGTTTAAAGTTTCATTTCCCCGTCATGTCCTCAGCTGGCTGCTTCCTGGCATAGTTTTATTATACTTTTAAGTAAGTGAGGAAAATCACAGATGAAGGAAATTGTGGTTTTTAAGAAATGCTAAAAATTACAACAATAAGAGTAACTAAAACAAGACAGCGGAACTTTATGTGGGAGTGTAGCCTACGGTCTCTGGAGTTAAACTTTGTGATTTCCACCCCAGCTCTGCCACTTAGCAGCTCTCTGTCCTTGGGCAAGTTGCATAACTAAGTCTGTTTCCTCATCTGTCTAATAATAGTAAGATCTATATCTCATAGGTTACTTGGAAAGATTAAATGAAGCAATCTATGCAAGTGCTAACACCGTGTAAGCTCTAACAGATGTTACCATCACTGTGAGATATCGGGTGAAAACAGTACACCAACACTTCCCTTTACAAATGCAGTAACTTTCTTTACATCACACCAAAGCAATCATTTTCTAAATTCAACTATCACTTTGAGTAGTCAAGCAAATAAAATTATACTTGGTACATTTTAGGCAGGACAAGTTCAGATCCTCTCAGATCAGCTTAATCCTCCTTTTGTATGAAACTGGAGCTCACCACCCCAAAACTGAGCTAACCCCCCAAAAAATACAGAGGAGCCTGTGTCTCTAATTGCAAGAAAATCCATGAGAATGGATACACTGAGAAATTCCTGCTGTTCTAGGAAAAAGCTACAAGCATAATTCTCAGATGTTGATTCCAGTACCCTCTGCCTCTCCCCATGATGAAAGAACTAAGTCGCAAAGGAAGGACTCACCAGAGAGAACAACATAGTTTCCAACTCAAAAGCTGCCTTTCACCTTGATTTTTCTGACATATAACAGAGAGACCTGTGAGATACTGGAGGAAAAAAATCAAAAGCATGTGTAACCTCTTGCGCTCCCAGTACCTATAGTATTACCTTCTGTATCAGTTTCCTAGGACCGCAATGACAAAATACCACAAAATGAGTGGATTAAACAACAGAGATTTGTTGTCTCACAATTCTAGAGGAAGCATCAGCAGGACCATGCTCCCTCTGAAGGTACTTGGGAAGGATCTGCTCTAGGCCTCTCTCCTGGCTTTTGGTAGCTCTTTAGTTTGTGGCAGCATAACTCTAATCTTGACATGACATGTGTGCATGTCCTCCCAGTATGCATGTCAGTCTCTTTGTCCAAATTTCCTCTCTTTATTAGTGAAAGTCACCCAGTCATATCCAACTCTTTGCGACCCCATGAACTTTACAGTCCATGGAATTCTCCAGGCCAGAATAATGGAGTAGGTAGCCGTTCCCTTCTCCAGCAGATCTTCCTGACCCAGGAATCGAACCAGGGTTTCCTTCATTGCAGGCAGATCCTTTACCAGCTGAGCTATCAGGGAAGCCCTCTCTTTATTAGGGACCCACCCTCCTCCAATCTGACTCAACTAATTACACCTCCAATGGCCCTATCTCCAAATAAAGTTACATTCTGAGCTACTGGGGGTGAAAACTTCAACATGAGTTTTGGGGGGACACAATTCGATCCATCACACCCTCCAAAATAAGAGGTTCGGAAATGTGTGTTGAGACTGTAGGCTTTTCATTTCTCAGCCTTAGCACTGAGTGCATCTGGGTCACACAGATTTTTATCCTTAAGGAAGACTCTCATTTGAGAGTATGTTTTTTAATCTTAAAAATATATTTCAAGGCAGAAACCCTATATTTTTGTCAGTCCCTAAGGATTATAGTTCTTTTTTAAATTATTACAAATCTGCAGTGTATATCTCAGTATGCAACACAATTCACATTATTATACATTTTTTAAAAAGGAAAAGTTTTAGCATACAAGCACCTTGGAAAGAATTCTAATGTCATATGATAATTTTATAGCTAAAGTTTCTGGGCAAAAGGTACAATTATCACTTTCTGTCCAAATTTTTAATAGTCATTTTAAATGGAACATCATCATTTTATAGAATAGTATGAAATTACATTGCAAAATCAGGACAGACAGTGAACATTGTCTATCATATCCCAAACATTATGTATGTATTTACATTTAATGAATGGATAGTAGACAATCTTGTAGTAAAATATGGGGGAAACCTGCTGCAACTTGTACTAAGTCAATCAAATAGAAATTTGAAGAACCATATTAAGAAGAACTGTATTAAGATGAGAGGTTTTATACCTGGCATTTTCTTCTAGTGAAAAAATAAATCCAGTGCGCCACCATCTTGACAACTTCTTAAACATATAAGGAATATAGTTCTTATATAAAATAACACAGAGTAAACAATATAGGAATTACCTCTTCCAAAGGTCAGTCAAATGACAGGTTTTTTTCTCTCTGACCCTAAAAGAACATATCGATCTTCTACCTCATAAAAGTTATAGATAATAATTTTGTTCCTATGTATTTCATTTTTGTTTTTACTTTCTGATTGTTTCTGTATTAGGATTAACTTCTGTCATCCAATGGTGATAACTTCAAGTTGATCAAATAAGGACATTTTCTATTCCATTTGGGAGCCATTAACTTCCTCAATTGTCTTTTACTCATTTGTAATGTAGATAGACAGCTAATTCCTTGGCCCTCTCAAACTGTATCCTTAAATGGTAGGTTCAGTTCCATTCAGTTCAGTCGCTCAGTCATGTCCGACTCTCTGTGACCCCATGAACTGCAGCACACCAGGCTTCCCTGTCCATCACCAACTCCCGGAGCTTACTCAAACTCATGTCCATCGCATCGGTGATGCCATCCAACTATCTCATCCTCATCATCCCCTTGTCGTTCCAACTTGAATCTTTCCCAGCATCAGGGTCTTTTCAAATGAGTCATTTCTTCGCATCAGGTGGTCAAAGTATTGGAGTTTCAGCTTCAACATTAGTCCTTCCAATGAATATTCAGGACTGATTTCCTGTAGGATTGACTGGTTCGATCTCCTTGCAGTCCAAGGGACTCTTAAGATTCTTCTCCAACACCACAGTTCAAAAGCAACAATTCTTTGGTGCTCAGCTTTCTTTATAGTCCAACTCTCACATCCATACATAACCATTGGAAAAACCATAGCTTTGACTAGACAGGCCTTTGTTAGTAAAGTAATGTCTCTGATTTTTAATATGCTCTCTAGATTGGTCATAGCTTTTCTACCAAGGAGCAAGCATCTTTTAATTTCACAGCAGCAGTCACCATCTGCAGTGATTTTGGAGTCCAAGAAAATAAAGTCTCTCACTGTTTCCATTGTTTCCCCATCTATTTGCCATGAAGTGATGGGACCAGATGCCATGATCTTAGTTTTCTGAATGTTGAGCGTTAAGCCAACCTGGGGGCTTCCCTTGTGGCTCAGCTGGTAAATGGTAGGTAGGCCATGATTACTAATATTCTTGATTTTTAAATGGCAAATAAATACATATTATACACCAATGCATATATCAGATGCTCTGAAAGTGACTGGAAAACAGATATTTTTAAGATGATAATTATATTCTAGGACATGTAATTACTATAAAACTTGAAAATAATTTCTTATCCTATACTCTCCCAAAAAATCTGATATGTGTCAAAGTACAGGAAAAGCTCTTTTCTAAAGAGAAAGAAGAGCAGGGTCCTTTGTTTGCATTTATCAGTCTACATAGCCTGAAAAAATTATCTGTAATATTGAGCTATTATATGGACAGTTATATATATTTCTTCTATAGAAGAAATAATTTTCATAGTTTAAAACCTAATATTACTCCTTGGTAAGGAACCTGTATATCTATCAAAGAGTAGATCACTATATATACAAGAAAAAATATCCTTAACAAAGTTCACAATGCCATCACAGCCACCTAATTAAATATCTTAATTGCAAAATTAGTGTAATTTTTCCAAATACATTTCTTTAAACTATTTATTTAATTTGGCTGCACTGGGTTTTAGTTGCAGCATGCAGGATCTAGCTCCCCACACCCCTTGTATTAGGAGCACAGAGTCTTAACCACTGGACTACCAGGGAAGTCTCCCACATACACATATATAAAGCCCAAATAGCTGTGAACCCAACGGCAAGCCTCTTTACAGAACTTAAAAATTTGGTAAGTACCTTTAATTATGTATTCCAATAAAAAGGCAAGAGTTGGTTGATTATTTAAGTCCAATTTATCTATTTGACATCACTAGCAAAATCCTTCCTAAAGGAGTCTGCTTTGTCAGCATTATGTTAAGTAACCCCATGTTTTCTAAAATGCCAAAGTAACTTACAGATCAGGACAGAAAACCCTTCAGCTCCTTGTGGCACATTCTATGACTGCCCCAATCAAGGCTGTCCACAGTCTGTGCCCTCTGACCACTCCCTGTAGGGTTATTCCTTCAGAGAAAGTCACTAAAAATCTAGGCTCATTATACAATAGTGGTGTTAATACCCTTGGACTTCCCATTAAAGTATCAAATCAGTGCTTCATAATAGGTGCTATTTTGCCCAAACTGTTCTAAGCAGCCTCACCTCCCAGGGCCCAAGTAATCTTGTATTCATAAACATCTTCAGTGCCCTGTAGGAGCCTTCCAGTTCAATAGGTTGTGATTTTCAATCAAGTGTCCTTGAGATAAATGGAAACAAAACTTGTATAATATATTACATCTTCTAACTTCAGGAAATTCCACCCAATGGAATTAAGTTAACCAACAAAAAAAGTTTTTGAGATTGCCAACTATTTATGCCCTCAGACTACCCAAACTGGCAAATAATTGGTAGCTAAACAAAAACTAATCAAAGCCACATCAATGGAGTCAGCACATTGTCTCCAAGTTCATATAAAGTCTAGAGAGTGGTGAAGAGCATGGGCTTGGGGATGATGGAACTGTGTTTGAATCCTCTATGGACACTGATCTACCAGCTGTATTAGTTTCCTATTGTTGCTGTAACAAATTGCTACAAATTCAGTGGCTTAAAACAATGCAAATTTATTATCCTGTAATTCTGGAAATCAGCTATCCTAAAATCAAGGTATCAGGAGGGCTCTATTCTTTCTGGAGGCTCTAAAGGAGAATTCATTCCCTTGCCTTTTCCAGCTTCTAGATGGTACCTCAAATTCGTTGGCCTGTGGCCCCATATTCCATCTCTGAAGTCAACAGCATAGCATCTTCAAGTCACTTTCTGTTTCCTTCTCTCTCTACCCCCACCACCACCATCTCTTAGTGTCCATCTCTCCTCCTGCTTCCCTCTCTCCATCACTCTCTCCCCCCCCCCTCACACACACACACACACACACACACACAATTTCACTTCCCCTATATATCAGGTGGTTATTTTAATTTAAACACAAATTCTGGAACACAAACCTTCATGTGCCTAAGAGAATCTTTAAAATCAGATTGAGAAAATCAGTAGAGCAGACACCCCCTTCCATGCCAAGGTATGCTATCTATGAAGCGCATATGGCACAGTGACATCTGACACCCTTTATTTTTGTCTCAACTAAAGTGCACATACACACACATACTCACATACTCACAAGCTAAAATGAGATTTGTCTTTCTTCAGAAAGTGAAAGGCAGTACACATCCTTCTGTGGTTTTGAAATTGTGTTCCTCAGGGACACTCTCAGCTTCGAGCTTGCCATTCAACCTCCACGGCACCCCCTTCATCAACTGAGGAAAAAACAAGGCCTTTTGTGTGTGCCTAGCAGTTGTTTCACATTTGCTGGGGAAAGAACAAAGAAAAAGAGACCTCTGAACAAACACAGGAAGTGCTGAGGACAGCTTGGAGGGGAAAAGAACGTTACTGAGCCAAGTTTGAATTCGCAATTCAGTCTTTGAGTAATTCATTTATTCTGAATGGTGAGAAACAGATATAGAGTTAAATTAATACTCATCAGTTATTATTCTGTAACAAATGTACTTCCTATCTACAAGCAGACAAGTCCTATATAATTTTCTTCTAAAAGAAGTGTAGGAGAAAGTGACTAATTCTTGTTTGTGCAATTAGTAAAAAGGCATATATGGCATTTCAGAGACTGTTATTCACTTCCTTCCTTCTGTTATAAGGAAATCACAGTGGGCCTAGAATCCCCGCCAACATTAACAGTGGCCTAGAATTTTCTATTTAAACATTCAAAAGATATGAAATGTGTGGCAGCCGAGCCTACCCTGGCTGCTTGCCGTGCCTAACTTTTAGACACCGAGCCAGCCAGAACACTCCTCCACGGCTCAGAGCATCTTAGTCTGGAAAGAGACTCCTATCTCAGGAAGACTGGAACAAGATAAGCTCACATGAGATGACACTTTCAGGCCATTTTATGATAAATTTACTTCATAGCATCTTCTGTAGAGCCAATAGCCTGTCTCATCTGCCATTTTATTCCCAGGGCTGTTTTCCTGTTTCTGTCAGTGTATGGATATGACTCTTGCCTAAAACAGAGGGGAGTGGGGGAAACAGGAGATAAAGGAAAAGGAAAGAAAAGCATCACAAATTGGCCACCAAAGAATGGAAATAATATTTATTGAATACCTGCAGTATGCTGGGCTCTTTACACATTTGATTTATAAATTAGATAATGTAATCTTCACATCATATCTAATGTAGAGACTTAATTCTGCACTTTTTTAAGTGAGGACATTGAAACTCAGAGATGTCAATAAGCTTATTCCAAGTCACACAGCTAGGCAGTGGCAGAGTCAGGTCCATCCATTTCACCATTAACACCCAACCATTGTAATTTATACTTGAAATCAGAAAGCATGATTATAGAAAGTTTTACATCCTATCCTAAGTATCCCATAGGATGGCTAGCTCATGAGAACACTTCAGTACTAAAAAAAATCCTGGTTGTGAACTAAATTAAACCCTGACCCTGCATTGAATGCAAGGGGGAAATAGATGGAAGAGTGTTGAGATGTCAACAAAGATCCATTTCCTACCAAGAGGAAAAACCAAGAGATCAAAGTGGAGGAGAAGGAGCTGTGCAGAGGTTGTTGTAGACAGTGCTGCAAAGAGTTAGCATAAGGAGTGTCCCTATCGCTCTGGCTGCTTTTCTAAGCTAGCCGGTCAAGAGATCCTAGGTCAGGAAGCCTCAGGCCAGTTCAGAAGCCAGTCTCTGGGATGCTGGGGCTAAAAGAGAAGTAGAGCTGGAGGAACCTTTTCTAACAGGAATTTTCCATTTCTCACAATGAGCTAGTCAAACAGCAGTTACTTGCACTTAAGAGAAAGAATGAAAAGTTACATAGCCTGCCTTTTTAATTCTCATTTGCCTAGTTTGCATTTGAACAAATTATTATTTCTGCCTTCATTAGAGTATTTAACACAATGTAATCCACCTGCTGGGAAGTAAAAGTGTAACCGTTTTATGGTTTGTTACATTGAAATTTAAATTTGCATATTAAGCAGTAAAGGCATTAACATGTGTACCTATTCATCAACTATGGATTATGAAATACCTCTCTAGTGTGAGCCTAAACATCAAGCCGTTTTCTGATTAAACTGCTTAATTAAATAAAAGATGATTAACAACATTCATTTATACCCTAGATACTTTAGTAGTTTGAAATTAAAACACAAAGACATTTAGAAACTTTACCAAATCTTCCCCATCACTGTTTTGCAAGCATCTCTCTGAATATGATACATTGACTCTATGCTGGGAAAAAACTTCACTCTAAAATATCCCTCTTTATAAATAAAGCAAAGCAATCAAGTAAATAGTACCTGAACTCAGATTCAAGGTAATCATTTTAATTCCATTCAAACCTTCATCACTGGTGCTACTGTTCTAAGTCTGATTTTGCAGATTTCTACCATGCCAAATAAAGGAGAACATGCAGCAAGCTTCCCAGTCTAAATGCAAACTGTCTTGATATATCAATGGTGAGCTAACTGAATTTGGTGCTTCTAACCTATACTGCAAACACAAAATCCTTCTGCGCCCACCTGAAGCTTATTTTAAAAAAAAAGAATTTCAGAGCGATGAGTGAGCTGATCTTAATGCCTTCTGTCTCCTACAGTATTGACTACAGGCTTAGATCTCCTTGACTTGAGTGAACCCGTCTCTCAAACCCAAACCAAAGCCAAGAAGTTGGAGGCCTCATCAAAAACCTCATCCCTCAAGAAAAAGGCTGATGGGTCTGACCTCATCAGTGCAGATGCTGAGCAGAGAGGCCAGGCTCTCCGAGGCTCGGAGACAGCATCCTTAGACTTAAGTAAGGCAATAGCTGTGTTTGCTGCCTTGATACAAGGCCATTCTACAGATGACATGAAAACAGTGGGCAAAGCAGTAGAAAAGTTGATGTCTATGTAGGAAACTGGGCAGGACACACTTCTTTGTGCTTAGATTAAATAGCAGTTGGGGAGCTCAACTTTGTAGAACTGGTGTGAATTTATATGTTTACTTATACAACCCATGTGTATCAAGTTTTTGACAGATGGCAGACACCATACTGGGCACTGGAGTTACAATGAAAATAACATACAAATCTTGCTCTCCAGGACCATTCAGTCTAGAGAGGAAGAGAGTCTAGAAAGAGAAAACTCTAACCCAAGGTCTAGGAACAGCCACATGGAACAGTAACATGTAACAAGCATGGAAATATTGCAATACAATAATGTTAGCTACCATTTATTGGTGACTTACAACGTCCAGGACTGTGCTACATCATTACATATGTTATCCCATTAAGTCATCACAACTCTTTGAAATGAGTGAGGAACCAGGTTTTCAAATTTAAATAATTTTCCCAAGATCCCAGTTAGTATGAAGAACAGCTGGAATTTGAGCCAAGATCTAATTAACTTCAAAGTCCATACTTCTCTCCACTGCACATTTTCCTGAGAAAGGAGGTCTTAACCTTGATTCATGGAACCAGTCAATTAAGTTCTTCTTTCTTAAGAGAAAGAAAGGTAGCAAGAATTTCAGAAAGTCAAGGGAAACATGGATGAGTAAATATCCATAAAATGAGCATATTAGTAACTTATCCATAAAGTCATGAAGGTTAAAGGAAATATATAAAATCACTTAGCACTGTGTTATATACATATTAGATGCTTATGAATTAATTTATCCATTTGTTCAATAAACATTTTTCTGAATACCTGTTGTGTTCCATACTATGTGCTGGGAATACAAAGACAAATAATATAAGCTTTCTGCTCCTTAGTAAATGTACAGTCTAGTGGAGAGATAGAAAAATGATTAAAAGATTACAATAAAGTATGTACTATGTGCTGCAATAAAGAAAAGGCTGGGTTAGTTACTGCATACTAGCACCTTCATAAAGCCCCTCACCCAGCCAGGGGTTTATAGAACATATGTTATAGGAAGCACTGTGATAGAAGTCTTGAAGGATGAGTAAGAATTTGTCAGATGAAAAATGTGGATCAGAGAAAGTAAGGAGGAAAGGGCAGGGCATTCCTGATGCAGAAGCACAAATAGACCGAGATGCTTTATCAAGCAAATACAAATATTGTCACAGTATTCAAGAATGGTAGAGTAGTCAGAAATAAGTCTTAAGAGTCACCAGGCGTTGGATAATGGGAGTTCTTGTTTGACAGGCCCTTAAGTTTTGGGGGAGGGCAGGGTTGAAGGGTAAAGCTCACTTGTATAAGACTTCTCAGTCTTAACCAATCTCTGTTCTCTCTCCACCTCATATTCTCCCCTTGTTCCCATCGCCACCTTCCTGTCTCCTTAGCAGACATTCAAACACAACTGGAAAAATGGGATGATGTTAAGTTTCATGGAGATCGAAATAGCAAGGGGCATCCCGTGGCAGAGAGAAAATCAAGCTCATCTAGAACTGGATCAAAAGAACTTTTATGGTAAGATATTTTAATATCAGAAAATAACCGTTTATGTGTCATGTACACATGTATTGAAATAGCCAATGACCTAAGTCAGTCCAGATTCTTGGTGCCATTTATAAGCCCCTGTTTATCAATGTTAATTATTGTGACTTCTAAAATTAAATTATTTCATCTGAGTTGTCAAAAATTCAGCCAATAAGGATTTTGGTAGTTTCATAATTCAATACTCAATATTTTTAAATGTTTGTTAATAATTTTCTGAATGTGTAACTGATCTTTCAAAATAGGTACACAGGTATATTTCATATATGTGTATATTCAATGGGGGCTTCCCTGGTGGCTCAGATGGTAAAGAATCTGCCTGCCAATGCAGGAGACCCAGGTTTGATCCCTGAGTCAGGAAGATCCTATTAAGTGAGTTACATTAAGTGTTTCTAGTTAAACAGGTAGCCTGTTCTGACGTTATGAATCATCACTGTCAGAAAATGAACTAAAAATAATCTATGGATACCCATGACAAAAACTGGCTGCCTAAATCTTACCATGTCTTTAAAACTTCCTAAAGGGCAGCATATTTCAGTCTGTTGCCCTTCACACATCTCCACTTATATGACATTTCAAATTCTATATAAAGATCCAATCTTACTGATATACTTTGTGAGAAGCTCCCTCCCCTCAAAAAGCCAATACTTTTTTGATGAAGCAGAACTTTCTGCAACAAAAATGGTATTGCATTTATTTGCCTTTTCCACATAACTGAAGTATAAATCAATCAGAGACAGTAACACCTAGCACATTGCAGCCACTGACATTCCAAAAGTGGTCATTATAATGGAAACATCCAAGTAAAAGTCTGATGAGAGCTTTGTTACCAAGGTTCTTAGTGATCCAAATTAACCAGGTTTTTTGGCTGATGTTCTAGCTGAATTTGCTTCTCATGTACATTAACTTCCTTCATGTGCCCCGTATAGGTCTTCAGAGCATAGATCTCAGCCAGAGCTGAGTGGTGGGAAAAGCGCCTTGAACTCTGAGTCAGCTTCGGAGCTGGAATTAGTCCCTCCAACACAGGTAACAAATCCAATTCCTCAGTGCACCTAGCTTTTCTAATAGATCATTTATGTCATAAATATTTTATTTAAATTTTCACCAAAAACTTTGAAGTTTTTTTTTCAGTATTTTGTATTTCATTTGCTTTCTTGCTCAGCAGCTATCTCAGTGCTTAAAATAACAGATGATTGATAAATAGGTAGGAGGGTAGGTAGGTAGGTAGAAAGATAGATAGATAGATAGATAGATAGATAGATTTGGCTGGAAAATGTGTCAGTGAACTTACTACTTAGCACTTTTTCCTTGTTCTGCCATTTACTATTCCATTATTTTTCAATACAAAATCTATTCTACTCCAGCATTAGCATTGTTTATGTAACAAATGCAAAGAAGAGGAAAGTACATCTTGAACATTTATTCACATCTATGCCCTGTGGGACATATTTACACATCAGGATTCTGACCATCACATTAAAATAAATGTGATGCTAAGGAATTACTAAGTGCAGTATGAGCAATCATGATAATACTAAGAACTACCATTTGTGAGTACCTAATAAGTATTAGAGACTCCACTATGTGATTTTCACATATTTGGATTGGCCAAAAAGTTTGCTCTGGTTTTTCCATAACATCTACAGGAAAACCGAAACGAATGTTTTGGCCATCCTGATATTACACCTAATACTCAAATAATCCTATGAATTATTTTTAGCCTTACTTTGTCTCTAAAGAGTCTTGGTAGAGTCAAAATCCTTTTATTGGGGCACCCAACTAATCCCTTGTATAAGTAAACCAGACAGACCTGTCTGTCCACTATTTGACCCTCGACTTCAGTGTAACTGACTTGCCTATAACTAGTTACCTCCTGTGGTTAAGGCTGTGCCAAGAAAACCCAAGTCAATCTCAATCTTTTCATTTGCTCAAACACTTTACAAGGGTATACAGCCTTGATCTAAAACCACAAAGATCTCTTAAGAAATGTATCCACATTCACACATCTATAATCTCCGTGGAAATAAGTAGGATGAAATGAGCAAAAGAGATCTTCCTGAGTGTTATTAGATAAGATACTGAAACTAAGGGAGGAGATACTTTGTCTGAAGTGAGTAAAGGGATAACCATGATAATAGCAAATATTACTGAGTGCTATGAGAAGGCCTTCTAATATATATTAATTAGCTCTTTTGATCCTAACAAATGACTCGATGATATAAGTGTATTTATTACCCCCATTTTATAAGGGGGGAAACTAAAACACACTGAGGCTAAGGAAATTGTCAATGCACTCACAACCAGTCAGTGGCCGAGAGAAGGAGGATACAGATAGAAAGAAAATGCAAGGCATCTAGAAACAGTTGTAAGCCCTTACCCCAACTCTACAAGAGAAAGGTGGGCATTACTGCTCCCGGAACTTGGCAGGAAAATGAGTCAGCTAACTTTCAGAACAAATAACCCTGGAAGCTTAATGAATTATAAAGGTACCATGCTTTTCATCTTTGTTCATTTAAATGTATCTTTAAAAAAAGCAAATTGATAACATTTATTAGAGAAACATTTCTTGATAGTGCATTAGAGATTTAGATTCAGGTGGGCTGCCGTCTATGGGGTCGCACAGAGTCGGACTCAACTGAAGCGACTTAGCAGCAGCAGCAGCAAAATAACTGGTGCTGTTTCATAAACTGGAATCCTTGGAACAGTTTAATGTGGCAAGAGAACACATTTCTGCAGCAGGGGGAGACCTGGCACAGGTGGGCTGTTCCGCAGGGAGCTGGAGGCGGGGAGGATCAGCTGGGGTCCTCGGTTGCCATGGAGACCCACAATGCACTCATCTTATTATTCCAGTGACTGCTACTCCCCTGCTGGTTGTCTGATTTCATCCCACCACATTGTCCACTTACCCACTGGTGTGCCTTTAAGCAAACACAATATGCTTTGGAAAATTTGTATGAGATTCCCAACATTGTCCTCCAAAACATAATGTTAATTGCCCTGAGATAGTTCTCTTTGGATAAATCATAGTGAATCCTTTTAGAAGGTTACCAATGATTTGTACAGTGTTTATCCTTTAAATTATTTTTTTAATGCTGCATGTTTACTTAACAAGATTTGCCTAAACTAAGCAAATTTACAACCTCCTAGTTGTAATTCCAGCCTATGATTAAAGTAGGAAAATTTCATGAATTTGGGATTTAATCATTTAAAATATTAAGTCACTCAAACGGAACAGCAAGAAAACAGACTGACTTATCTACCCGTAATAAAAAAAAACAGAAAGGTGTTTTTACTCTAAGAAGCATACTGCTCTTAAATATATGATCTCTTTACATAAATAAGATGATGTAGCAGTATGAAAATTTGACTTAAAACTGACTTGCAAACTATTCAAGTAAAAAATTTCAGCTCATCAAAATTTTGTTACTGCTCTACTAACACTCAGATGGTTCACAGGAAAATCAAGGAAATGTATTCTCTCTCAAGCCAACATAAATAATCTTAGTTTAACAGGTGAGGAACTATTTAAAAGCCTTGCTTAAAAATCATATTTCAAAATCACAAAGAGAATGAAAGCTAACAATGAGAAGAATTCTTATGTTCATTTTCTTTTCAAAATGGGGAAAAAGAAAAATAGACTAGTCTCTTTCAAATAGTGCTTTGAATACACTAATCAGAGTGACAGGAAATTATAATAAATTCTATAATCTCTGTATATTGAAGAATAAACTTTCTTGATATTATGCAAACTGTGTAATTTGTATTCCCTGCAGCTAACCATTTAAAAAAATTATGATATCTGAAAAATTAAAAAATTTTTGAAGAATTGAAGAAATTCTTCAATGATATAAAATTAGCTTTTTAATGATATAAAATTAGCTTTATCCATGAAGGAGTTGAGATAGTGGTAAGACAAAAAAAAAAAAAAAGAATCCAACTTCCACCAAAGAGTGATGGTTCACAAATTCCTTTTTCAAGTATGGACACTGGAAGGACAGTTCCAAGACAGGCTCTTCTTAACCTAAGCTGGACTACACAGGAAGGTGAGGCAGCCAGGCTCTCAAATACTGAGTCATAATCCTGACTCAGTATTTGAATCAGAGTGAACAGAATCACTCTGATTCTGCTGATTTTGGCAGAGCAAATGCTTCCTTCCACATTGTCATAGTTCCATCAAGTTGGCAGTGTCCCCAACCAGAACAGTTTAAACTTTAAAAGTGCAGATATGTTTTCGAAATGTTTGAAGGCATAGTGAAAAAGGAAAGGCATACTAATAGTAATGTAATATATTCCTAATATACTATTTGAAATGTTTACAATAATCTTGAGAATTAACGTTTTCTCCGTTAATGAGCAATGCATCTCAGAAAACAGAAGTAGTTTTCCCAAGGTGACACAGCTAAGATGGAGAGGAGCCAGCACTCAAATCAAACCCATCAGCTTCTAAAGTCCTTGTTCTTCATCACATGTCACCTCTTATCAGCCACATCAGACTTCTCTACCTGAGGGAACTCACAGACCATCGATTTCCCTTCTCCTTGCTAGCCCTGATTATTACTTAGTTTATAGGGTTAATATGAGTTAAGTGGTTTTAAAAAAATATCACTTCCTTCCAAAAAATCTGAAGATGAATTAGGATTGCCATCTGATGTGAGGCCATGCATATTTTTGTGCCTCCCCTCCCAAATTCATTCTCAACCTCTTACTCTTAGAAATGCTAATGGTTTCCATGCCATTCCTTTTCAATTTAATGAATGAGACAATGTCTACCATCCATAAAGCCATAAGTCAGGCAGTGGAAAAGTTCGAAAGATGAGACAGATTTTAAGAAGTATGAAGAACTTTATATCTAGTAGAAACAATTAGATAATACACTATAAATATAAATATAGTTTTGCTTTTTGGAAGACAGCACAGGAGCCACATCTTCATCCCTCTTACCCTCCTGGCAACACACTGTGAGCTGCCAGTGAGGAAGAAAGCAGGAGAAGATGGAAAGAAGTAACAAAACCAAGAAGGCAGAAAGACAAGGTCAGCAGGAGGGCAACAAGAAAGAAAGCTGAAGGTCATTTTCATAGTAGGTAATCCGCACATACTAGGTACTCAACAAATACTTTTTATATAGTGAAAAAATAAGGAATGCTAACAAAAAGGAGAAACAAAATGTTTGTCATTTTTTAAAACTTGAAAATAGAGGCTAATGGTTAAAGCTGGGAAAAGTGAAAGGATAAATTTTTATTCCTTTAGCATTTGAAGCTAGTTCCAAAAAACAATTTTTAGTTGTGTTTGCTAATAGACTGCTCATCTTCTTTAAAAATCAGTCCTGATTTGCCTTGATAGTCCGTAACATAGAATTACATGGTTGGAGGCAGACAGGAACCATGGGCTACCCACCTTTGCACAAAGCTCTGGGAATCTGCTCTTGACACAAACGCTACACCTTTTTCCTGTACTTTCAATGATAAATGTCTGCTGGCTGATTAAGAAAAAAATATCATGGCCATCTTAATGAAGAAAGTATTTAGATGATCTATTCTATCATGAGTCCAGATTAATGAGTCCAGATTAAACAAAAGTGTTCTAAACACAGTTTTTTTAAAAATTGAATTTCCAAAGTCACACCTGATAAGCCCTAAGCAGAAAAATTACAATAACACTTCGCCAGCAAAGGTCTGTATATTCAAAGCTATCGTTTTTCCAATAGTCATGTACAGATGTAAGAGTTGGAACATAAAGAAGGCAGAGTGCCAAAGAATTGATGCTTTCAAACTGTGGTGCTGGAGAAGACTCTTGAGAGTCCCTTGAATAGCAAGAAGATCAAATCAGTCAGTCCTAAAGGAAATCAACTCTGAATATTCATTGGAAGGACTGATGCTGATGATCTCAGTTCGTTTCCAAGGCAAAGCATTCAATATCACAGTAATTCAAGTCTATGCCCCAACCACTAATGCTGAAGAAGCTGAACGGTTCTATGATGACCTACAAGACCTTCTAGAACTAACACCCAAAAAGATGTCCTTCTCATC